GACCACACAGGGCCAGCCGGTGGACTGAAGCAGGCCATTGACGATCCACAGGGAGCAGTAGAACCACCTGTTGTAGAAATGCAGCCATTCCGTCAGGGTGCCAAAGATGAACACCTGAGAGAGAAGGAAGACAGAAGGACGTGTCACACCCACACGGTCCGTTCTGTGTACTCACGGACACGCCATATTACAGGGAAGGCAGGAAATACCCGGAGCCCGAGGACGTGTGGCCAGCTCTTAGACGCCCCTGCTCAGAGCCAGCATTGAGCAAGACAGCCACCAAATGGTCACTGACGAGAGAGGCAGAGATGGGAAACATAAAACTCGGGAGTTACATCCTTTATACCACGCCTCCAAGCTGGCACCTTCACCTCTAGAAGTTCACGCGCAGCTTCAGACCTCACTGTACGTCTGTTCCCACTTGCTCGTCCACAAACCTGTGCACGTGTAGGAAATGAAGCAGCAATCTTCAGCAGGATTACAGGAGCAAAAGCATGGGCTTAAAGCACTAATCTACCAACTAGAGAATCTACTTCTAGAAAATCTCCTAGGAGATTAAAGTCTTAGAGCATTTGCACTGGATGTCCTAATTAAATCCTGACTTTCTATGGAATATAAAACAGAATTTACCATAATGATACAGTGTAGCCTCATTTGGTTACTGAAATATGATAGCATCACACCCTGTTAATCACAGCTGCGATTTAAGATCATTTCACCTAAATTCAAACTTCTTTAAAAACTCATAGTAGTTCTTCGCACACTCTTTACCACCACACCACAGAGCTAAAACAGAACAAAATGTATCTGCATTACACTGTACCGGCAACTTTCATCCACAGATTAAAGGTATTACAACTCTTCTCCAAACCCACTGAGTGTTTTAAATGACAAACTAAAATTTCAAATGCATTCTATTTAAACCAGCCAATGAAGAAATGGATACTTCTAGAAAATACCAGTAAAAGTGAGCATTACAGGCGACGTTCCTGGAAACTCACTCCTGGAGCATCAGGCAATTCAGCGAAACCGTCCTTGGACAGAGACATGCCTTACAAACAACACTGAGGAGAGGGGAGGCAGGGAGGCCATCCAGGAACAGTCCTTCCTCCTCACTATTCTCTGAGGCCAGAGAAGAACGATTATTCTCTTGAGGGGACCTGCCTTCCCCTGGGAACCCTGGAGTGGAGGAGAACACCACCACCCAGACAGGCAAGAGAGGCCCCCGAAAGGAATCACCCCCTAAATTCCAACAACAGGGGAGCCAGCTGTTCACAAGCTCCTCTCTTAAAATACACACATTCCAAGAACTTCAGCCTACTGTATCACTCTTCTCTGTAAATTGTTTCAATCATAAAACGTCCAAAACTGGTGTGGAATGCTGTAGAAGGCCAGCCTTGTTGGGTGGCCACCGTTGAACAGAGCAGGGTGGGGAGGGGGAAGGGTGCTGCTTGAGTGGCTTAAGGGCACAGATGCCATGGACGGGGGAGTGGGTGACAGATGTGAGGGGCGCTGACGTAGCTGATTCGCTACACCCGGAACCTATGCTCACTCACTCACACTCAATTCTGGGAGACACTATTGTTATCACCGCCATTTTACAGATGAGAAAGCTGAGGCTCAGAAACTGACTTGCCAAAATCACACAGCTAGTAACTGCAGCGGCTATGATTTTGACCCAAGCAGTTGGACTCCAGAGCTCCAGGCCGTAACCACTAGACTATTCCGCCCAGTCGAGGACTTGTCAGAGTGCCCTGGGAGCATCAGAAGGCTTCTACGCCTCTGAAAATTACTTGCAA